ACTTAATGTTTGACAAGTTTTCAAAGTGTAAAATGTACCAATGAAAAAATAATCATTTTCTTACATTTTTCAATTCATGGAAAAACAGTTTAAAGTTTAAGTATAAAATTTGAATGAATGCAAATAATATTTCGATTTGAATAAACATTAATGCTACATTAAACAAATGCAAATATTTAAAAGCAACTGAATAAAATGTACATACTATGTAAAAAAAAATGTAACAACAATTCTATGGTAAGTCACGTATGATTCCATGATTGTTTCTTGCAGTGTTTGTGAGTGCCGCATCAAATTAATATCAGTTTCTTTAAATTTACATCTCAGCTAAAAAAATAAAAACCTTGGGTATTTCAATGCAAATTTGTATATTATTTTTTTGGTAATTCACTGATGTATTTGTACACTGAGCTAGGTTTAGCAATATGGTTGTATATTTGTAAATTGAAATCACCTTTCTTTGCCTTTCTTCAATGTGAATACTGCAATAAAAGATGCATTTAGGAACAATCTATACATTTGGGGTCCGCTTTTTCATGTCCCTATACATCTGGCATCTACTATACTTTTGTGTTCTTCCTCCAAACTGCATCTACTATACTTTTGTGTTCTTCCTCCAAGAGTGCTTATTTGAATCAAACATAGCGCCTACTCAAGAAATTAAAAAAATATTTGGAATACTTGCAACTTGCAAGTAATTTTAATAATAATAATAATAATAATTACCGGCAATGGGGTAATAGGGAGACTTTCCCATAGACTTGTGCACAAAAATTTTCCGAATTAAATGTGCCCTAACCAATATGTTCCCTTGTCCTTTTTCCACGAATTTCGGGATTTTTACTACTTAGACTACGAGCAACAAATATAACCCAATTTCGACAGCAAATTTTCGACACCTAGGTGTCTACCTATTAAGCCAGTGTCTCCCTACTATCGAAATTTCTACGCTAACGTGTCTCCCTAAAAGTACATTTGTAGGAATAACTGTATTTATATAGCGCTTTTGGCCAGAGGATACAAAGCGCTGGGGGAGAATGCAACCAAAGCCAGGTAAATGAAGTATATGAACATTATGAGACCCATTATGTAGCACCTTTTTGCTAGGTGCTGCGGCGCATAATTGCTGCCACTGCCAGAAACACCGGGGCAAACCCCTCCTCTTAGCGACAAGTGTTACTGGGTTCTTTAACATGCATTACACAACACACGGGACCTACGGCTTTACGTCCCATCTGAAGGACGAAGCAACAATGGTAAAGTGCCTTGCTCAAGAGCACAAGCACCATGTTCACACGGTCAGGATTCGAACCTGTGTACCACGGCACACGAGTCGAACACCGAAACTTCAAGTTACAATGTTCAGAAGTAACAGGGACAGGAAAAATGACAGACTTTGGACCCGAAATGTATAGAATGACCTACTAGTGAGAGGTTCTGTATCATAACAGTTAATAGTTTGTTAATTCCATAAATGATTGAGTTGTTTACTTCCTTGATTTAGCAATATTTTCTTGGTCTGGTTTGTTTGTGAATAAAGATTGAGACAGGGCGTTTAAAGAGGGAATTGCATTTATGCAAATAATGTGTCTGGCACCTGGCCTATACACAGCTTTTCCAAATGTAATTCACACCTCTGGTGTCAGCACATATTGAATAATAGCTTGCAATATCTAATTGATGTAACATGGCTCTCAGAACCTTCTAGAGACAGTCAATTCAAATGGTGTATCTTCAAACTTATAAGTCTCACCTTGCAAAATATACGAGTGTCATATTTAATACAGAGCCGAGTACAGAGAGAGTTGCGACATGAATGGTATCATTTTCAGACGCCATTATAGGTCCAAGAATGAGTAAATATTCTGAAGTGAGATTGTGGGGTTATTTTAATATACAGAAAATTAGAGAAACTGGTGTCTGAGAACAAAACTCCCATAACATTACAGACAATACGCAACCCGAGTTGGACCTAAAATAAATCCAACTTGCTAGTTGTTGCAACTCTCTCTATATACGACTCTGGCTTAATGGGGTGAGTGCACCACCAAGTGTTTGCCAATGGAGAGGCCACTGTTAAATTTAACAATTGACATGCTTTCAGGATGTCATCATCATCATCCTTGAAACTTATTTTTTACATGAATCTATTATGAAAACTCGGTTAATAAAATCAACACTATGCCAACAACAAATTCCAATGGTGCCTACACAAACTAATAGCCAGTTCTTTAAGCAGTTGTTGAAACTATTCTTTAATGTGCTACCAAAAACTTGCTACTTTCTAGAGGCAGTGCATTCGCATGGAGTATGAACCTCCACCGTGCAAGTCTCAAATCTCACCTACATGTACGTTTAACATGTACAATAGGGGTGAGTGCGCCACCGAGTGTCTGACTATGGAGAGGCCACTGTTCAATTTTACAACTGGCATCCTTTCAGTTGAAATACTATCAAGCAGTTATGTGTAATCATCCTCTTTCATTTGTTTCATGAATCCATTATGAAAACTTTGTAAATAAACTCAACATTATATCAACAAAACATTCCAACGATGCCCATCAAAACCAAATATATCAGACAGTTCTGATGTACACATTTGTTGAAAGTTTTCTTTACTGTGCAGCAAAAAAAATGGTCTCTCATCAAAATTATTGACAATTTAACATTCGGTCAATAAAGTGTAGTAGATATGCAGACGCATGATCTAGCAACACTTGCAGATTGTAAACTTTCTTGGGTCTTTTCTTTGACTGTGTACACTGATTTCAATTTTGCTACAAGTACCTTCATCTTGATTGTTTGTGTGTGCGTGATAATGGTTGCATAATGACTGCTGTCATTATGCTGTATAACTTATTATTCACATAACTCATTATTCACTGTGGTATACAGCACTTCCCAAGGAACCCCTTTTATTTTTATTTTCACACATTATGCAAGACAGTGAGGCTTGTTTTTCTGTTGGGTGCAATCCCACGCAAAGTTGACATGGCGGATGACAGAACATTAATAACATCTTCAGCATCTTAAAGCATCAATTGCATGCAAATAAAAGGGGACAACTAAGACTTTTATTTGAGTGTTGAGCCAGTGAGATACAATGTGGTTGAATGTGGGTTTTTTAGGGGGAGGGGGGTGTAGAAAAATGGTTTGGGGGCTAAATTAGAAGTTATTTTGGCATCTTGTTTTCACATACAAAATGCAAGTGCAGGCTTTGTGAGATTTGTATTTCAGGCTGGGGTAAAGGTTCATATCACACAGAACTTACATGTAGAATAACATGATTCAGTGTAATTTTTGTCAAGTGTTACAAATCTGTGCTGCGGTATAATTGTAATGTACATTTCCTTACAATTGATTTCACCTGAGTATTTTCCATGTTGCCAAATTGGGAGCTTGGGCCTACAGTTATAGGGCAACTATAACAACAGTGTTTGCTTCACTGGAAAATGGATCAGAAATGGAAAGTAGTGGCCCTATAGTAACTGCTTGGTCAAATTCTACTCAGGTTTTAATCTGAAGCCTGATTTGCCTTGGGGATTTTCTTGGAGACATTTAATCTCTATGGATTTGAAGAGTTTAATTAAACCCAATTCTGAATCGAAAATCATTTAATCATCCTGTAGTCCAACTTGAGTAATTTCTTTTGCTCTAAGATCAATTGGGTGCTTGTCTTTTTTGTGTGAAGGGAAACCAGGAAATATCTTGAATGTAATAAATTAATGTGTTTTCAACCAATTCATTTTAGAATAAATTTTCAACATGTATGTTCTAATGTTTAGGTAACATTTCCATTTTGGGGCAGTTGCAACCTTTAAAAGGCTATTATTTTGGATTACTTTTGTGCACACACATATGCATAATGCAAGGAGACACATTCCCGGCATTTACATTATTGATTTTGATTAGGGGCAGCTGGGAAGCAGTTAAACATGTGAGTAGATTATTGTCCGAGGGCAAATAATGAACGTTGACTGAATGTTGGGGGGGGAGCAATTTTCTCAATTTGATGTATCATTCAGAAGTGAGTAATATCTATACTGCTAGAAAACCTTTGTTTTGTAAGTAAAACTCTAAAAAAAAAAACCAAAACACTAATTTAATCATGCATTTCGCCAGACAAATTTCAGACCGTAAGCCAACAAATGAACCAAAGGTATTTTGAAAAAAAGTTCTTATTGTTATAAAGAACCGTACTCCGTCCAATCTGTACTTCTGTTTTCAAGAAATATTGGGTTTTGTTTTTGAATTTCCCACTAGAAATGTGATATTATAAAGAAATATTCAAAGAAAATAACCCCATCAGCCTTAATATACCAACAGTAATCTGATTTGAGAGATTCTTACCTCGGGCAAGCCAGATAATTATATTCATTTTTTCTGCTGACAAATTTCCAATTTTGTCTATTGTATATATAGGCATAAATTAAGTCAACAGACAAAAGCAGGCAAGTGGTATGCATAGCTGGCTTTATATTGATCACCTACAGTGAGAGCATATAGCTGCATCAAGTAACACCAACAGTCCTGACCAGTGAATCCTGCTTTATGTAGGCAGGGAGCACCCAACCGTTAAAGACAGTCACTTGACTGATTTTGACTGAAATGACAACTTTGCACACAATGTATGTTTGCATTCAGGAGGGTTTATAATAAGTTATATTCCATAACTAGGTGAGCCAATTTTTTTTTTGGGGGGGGGGGGAGGGGTAGTGATTTATGCAAGAGTGAGCACATAGATTGCTAGAGGAAAATAATAAATTGCAACCAAAATCTTCTTCATGCTGAAATTTGTAAATTACCAGGGCTACTGACTCCAAAAGTAACATTGGCAACTTCTGATTTAATTTTTTTGGGGCACTAGTTTCATGGAAATACTGCCATTTATGCACAGGAAACCTGCATTGAGCTGTGCCAACAAGTATTTGCCTCAAGAGGCCACTTTTCAACTCAACGGTCTATATGAAAGTACACTTACTTCTACAAAATGAACTTACCTGTACATGGAAGTACATTGGGGAATCTGTTCTTGTTTTTGCAGACAGGTTTCTTGGCTTCCTCACAGTTGACTGCCACTGTCATTTCATATAGCACCTACATTTCAAAGTGAACAAATTGACAACACGTACTACATTACTTTTTCTCTAGTTAGACTTCCATTACAATAAAGAATTGTTGACAGGTGTGATGTGGGATATGACATTTTTAACATCCTAGGGGTGCATCTCGCCTCAGGTGTTGTGGGCCCCGAGAAGATTGAAAACAGCATACTTTTAAGTATCCCACATCACACCAGTCAACAAATGGGCTTGTCTTCAGAAATTGAACCTAATTTAATTTTTTTGGAGGAATTTCTCATATGTGATGTAATACAAATGATTAATGTTCACTTATAAAAGGTGTTGTAGCAAGTAAAGATTCAAATTTCTCAAGAAATTCATTAAGTTGGTCTTTCTGTGCATAAATTAGCATAATTTTAATTAAAAAATTGATCCACTTTTAATATTAAAGTGGAACTTTTTTTATGTGATAGTTGATTCAAACTTTAGATTCTAGATGCTCTGTGGTGCAATGTGAGGCATTTTCTGGCCACTTTCCTCTTACTTTTTGAATGAAATGTGCTCTTTTTTGGGGGAGATGGCGGAAGGTCATCAAAGTTGATCTCTTTGTAGCTTGAATCTCTTTGGAGATTTTACATCACAAACATCACATCAAAACTGTAGCTTGACTCTCTTTCGAAATTTGCCCTCTTTAGCTTGATCCACGATTTTTTGTTTTGTGCAGCTGCAACCGCCCTGGACGAATGTTCAATCTCTTGCCATGGCTTGCAGACCCGGATTTAGATTTAAAATAGACTTACACCACATAACTGCTGTTGTGTTAGTACCTGTTCGTCAGTCTGTGATGTGTAGAGGTGGGCATGGCTCTCCCCAATCTCAGCATTCATCTCAGCAATGGATGGACCAATCAGCCTATGGAGGGCACAAAATACAAATGAATATTTACAATAAGTGTCAACTGAACTTACCTGGGATGCAATAAGAGAGAAAGCCTCAAATATGTGAGTTTGGGAAATTTTGTAACAAAGCACTGCTGATGCTGAATCACTGAGAGAAATAACAAGTTTTGTTATGATGAATATAATTCAAATGAACAATGCAAGCGTTGTGCTGTTGAATGCTTTACATGCATGTAAAACACCAACCACACACTAGCTAAAAAATGTTGATAAATATAAAGAAAGTGAGGGAAAATTAAACCCAATTTTTACCTCTTTATATTTGTTTACTTTTGTCTACACAACAGACTTGAGTATCCATGGGCGACAATCGGTGGGGGACGGGGGGAAAAGTCCCCCCTCCACACTTGTTTTGTCCCCGAATAAAAATTGTTGCCAACAATAATGATTCTATAGCTCACAATAGCTGATGACTCCAAACGCAAAAATTATGTCTAAAAGATGATTATTTTGCTCACAAACATTTGAAGTGGTCAGAAATTGCCTCAGATCACACCACAGAGCATCTAGAATACATTTCCTGGGGCCCTTCAGCGAGCCCTAGACCCCACACCATTAGGGCTTAGCGCTCCCATTAACACTGTTCAAGATATGCTCCTCCCCCCACTTTTGAGAAGCAATTGACGCCCTTGGGAGTATCCTGACTGGAAACATGTCAAAGGATATTAAAACAGGTGTCATCTGCAATAACAGTCAGTTTAGAATATTAAACTGCATCAGGTAATTGACCCTGTGGCTTCTTTATGTTTACCTTTCTGATAAACCTGTCTGTCATATTGCCAGCCCAGGACCTTTGGATCCATTTGATATAAAACACTGCATTTGATTTTACTATGAGCACGTACCACAGTGCTACGTTATTGGAATTTGGGTACTGGTACTGCAAATATTACCAGCCCAACACCTTTGGATCAATTTGATATAAAACACTCTATTTGATTTTACTGTGAGCACGTACCAAAGTGCTACGTTATCGGATTTGGGTACTGGTAGGCTACTGCAAATATTACCAGCCCAGGACCTTTGGATCCATTTGATATAAAAACTGTATTTGATTTTACTATGAGCACGTACCAAAGCGCTACATAAGTGGAACCAGGGACTGCCAATGAGTGTACTCAAAATCATGTGACATGGTGTGTGTTGATACAGAGGGGCGTATACATAGATCGCCATCTTTGTTCATTTCTGCCATTGCCGTAAGTTACATCAGAATGGGCAGATAGCAGTGGCTCATTTCATGTGTACCTGAAGGTAAGATTTTTATTCAGTGGGTCTAGCTGTAAGTCTGTCTATACATCTGATAGAAATCAACAGCATCACATTATCTCATATGAAGTACATGTACATGTTAACTCAGTATTTGCCAATTACAAGTGTATACGTATTTACTAGAAATTCAGGAGGATCCATCAAACCTGTTAGAATACAGACATGTGGAATACATGAATCTCCTTATATTCATGACAGAAATAAGTGACATGCATTGTTTGTACTTTACAAACAAGTGTTAGACCAATAATAAAACAACAAAAAATAAAACCGATGTGAAGGTCAATGTATTTTTTATGAAATTTCTTAAAGGAAAGTGGACTTTGAGTCTACGATTTGAAATACATCGGTGATAGACCTTTACAGTTTCTCCTGCAGCCACTACCAGATCACCAACCGATGTGAATGTGATGCCTGGGGGTACAGACAATATTTGGTTGCAGTAACTCCAGCTCACCTCAACTCAAACCACCCAGCTGACCCAGGCAAGCTCAAAGGTGGAGTGATAAGACGTCTGCACTAAACAGGAGGTACTGGGTTCAAGCCCAACCTGAGTAACAGTAAGACAGCCCTTTTGTATACAAGTGCCCTTTTAACTCTAGCGTAACCCCTTCCCCCCGGATATTTGTAAAGAGTGCCCTTTTTTTTTTTAAACGATGCCTTTTTTTTTTTAAACAGTGCCTATTTTGTTACCAGCGGCCTTTTAAGAGTATCCTTTTGGGAATTTTGGGCGACCATCAGCAAATGTGCGACCCTGAAAAGTGCCACATATTGTCCATGATCATCTGGTTTGAACAGAGCCCCAATACGAAGATGACCCCCCCCCCCATCCCACCTCACTTTATTTTTTATTTTACGGAGGTTAATTTTACCGAGGGATGTACGAGTACTCTTTTCACAAACTTTTTTCAACACTGATTATACAGTGTTCATACAAATACTTCAGTGTAGGGCAAAATCCAGTGTTAGGAAAAAAAAAATCAATTTTTTTTGTGAACTGTTTCATTCAGACCTGTAGCCACGTCCTCATCAAGTCAATGAAAAGTCATTCTTTGTCAGGTCGACTCACAAACTATTCTTCCTTCTATTCACCTTCTGTGATAGTGGAAAACCTTTTACTTGTGACCTACTTTTGTTTGACTTATTATGAATTTCATAACAACTTACCATAGGCATAAAAAAGTCCCATAACAGCTGAAACGAAATCTTTTAAGTTGCATTTGTCAGGACAAAATATGCTCTTACATTAAAGGGAATATACAACATTTGCAACCCAAAATAAAACTACCAAGTTATTTTGAAATACCTTAGTGGACTGCTAGTGAATGACAGTCTAAAGCATCCTGTAAAATCATGGCACGTGCTGACATTTTCAAGAAAAGTGGTATTTTTGTATCAATTTCCAATGCTGGACAAACTTACACTTTTCAAATACTGCTCAAACTTTACCATATTTAGTTAGTCCGCATTTTGTTTGTAATTGATTACACTCCTATGAATGGGTACAAGCCAGCTAGGCTGGTTTCCTGATCCGATTACAATTCCAATTCGACATCTATAAATTGCTCCATTTCATCATTTTGGGTTGGGAACCAGTCCACAAGAACATAATTTTTTTTCTTGGTTTTTCTAGTAACTGCGAACACAAAACTTTAAAGTCAATGTAACAATATTTGCTACAAACTACTAACCTCCAAATCAATCCATTTCTGAAAATTATAGCAGAAGCAAATGTTGTGTATTCCCTTTAACAAGGTAACCCTATTGTACATTTGTTGCAGCTTTTTTCTTTTGGACAAAAATAACCAACGGCAGCTTTAAAACAAGCATTACAGTATGTGAATAAACTTTCAAGTTTTCAACTTTACATCTGACCTATTACAACCGTCAACATCATTTGAAGTTCAAATACATGTAATTCTAAAACCTTTTATGTGCTTCATTTGTAGTTAAAGGTCCATCATATCACACAAAGCCCAACAGTGAAGATGGCATCTAATGTTACAGCTCAATCAGTGTTGGAGAAGATTAGAGTGGATCATCTGGAATGCTCCATCTGCACCAACCGTTTCAGGCAGCCCAAACTGCTGGACTGTTTGCATAGTTTTTGCCTGCAATGCCTCCAAGAGCTCAGACAGAGCCAAGATCCTAGTAGTACAAAGCTGACATGTCCTCTGTGCAGATGTGAAACCATGTTGAAAGGGTCTGGGGTTGCTGATCTCCCGAATAACTTTGCCTTCAGTGCCATGGTGGAGGAAGTTACAATGCAGGAAAAGCTACTGGAAGGTCAAGGGTCAGAGATCAAATGTCAAGCCTGTGATGAGGAGAATCAGGCTATTTCAAGATGCATGAACTGTGATCATTTCCTCTGCCAAGAATGTCACAAGGCACATGGACGAATGAATTTGATGATGAAATCTCACAAAATCTACACACTGGCTCAACTTCGATCAGGAGAGATTGTCTACAAGAGTAAACTAAGAGAACAAGTTCCCAAATGTGGCGAGCATCCAGATCAGAATCTCAATGTCTACTGCAACACATGTGAGCAAGTCATATGCACAACTTGCTCTGTACTTGATCATGCAAAACACACACTCACTGGATTACCTGAGGCAGTAGAAAAATGTAAGAAGAAGGTCACAGAAATGGTCCGAAAAAGTGAGAGAAGAAAAACAGAATTGGGCACCACCATAGAAGACACATGCAAATCTTGCAAAGAGCTGGAAACCATGTTTGCCAAAACTCAAAAGAAAATCTCCAAAAAGGCTCAACAGAAGATTACAAAGCTCCAACAGGAGATTACAAAGCTCAAACAGGAGGTTGCAAAGATCCAAAAGGAGATAACAAAGATCCAAAAGGAAGAAAAGAAACTGTTAAAAGAGACAGACATGATTTATAAAGACAAACTCAAAGCTTTTGAAGCTGTTCAAGCAACCAACAGGAAAGAGGTGACACAGACAGAGCACAAGCTGGAGGAGGTCAAACAACTCATGAATCAAGCAAGTTGCTATGAGATTCTTGAACTTCAGCAGAAGCTCTTGCATAACCTCAGTGAATTGACAGGGAAACAGCCACAGCAAGTTCCTGACAAGTTGACCTTCATGGATTTTGAAGAAGGTGAGAGGTCACTTGGGAGACTCATTCTGAAAGAAGAGCCAAAGGCTGCAGCAAAGCAATCATCAAGACCTGCAAGATTACTTGTGAAGGAGAAATGGGAACTTAAGACTGAAATCAAGAACTTTGAATTAACAGATGCATTTATTGCAAATGCAGCACCATGTTCTGAAAATAAAATACTTGCACTAGCTTCTAGAGGAATTTTTGGAAAAAAAATTGCACTATTCACAGTTTCACTTCCCAACAGCCAACATACACCGGCTCCTGTCCCACAAAGGCTTTATATCAATGGCCTCACTGAAAATGTAACATGCATTGCAGTCAGCAAGGATGACAACCTCCGAGTTCTAACTGGTCCAGTAGTCAAGGTCTTCAACAAGCAACATCAGCTCCTCCACCAGTTCACACCAGGTATAGGGTCAGACAGCCAACCAACATGCCTTGCATTGGATGACAGCAATCTGATAGCAGTGGGTTATGCAGGCAAGAATGAGATATCTCTACACAACCCAGATGGATCCCTCATCAGGAGACTGCCTGCTCCAATGATTCGAGGTAATCTGACAATGTACAATCACCACCTTATCTACACAAACCTGCCCAAGAAAAGGTTGGTATGTGTAGACTACTATGGTGCCAGTGTATCCTCAGTAGACATGTCCAGCAACATGCAGTGGGGTGGGCACCCTACTGGTGTGTGCTGTGACAGTGATGGCAGCATCTATGTTGCTGTGGAGGGATATCCAACAGGTGATATTCTGCATTACAGTCCTGATGGCAAGTACATTGAATGTGTGATCAAGGGATGTAGTAATCCATATGGCATCACATTCACATCAGGTGGTGATCTGGTAGTGGCTGCAGGAGAGTCTGTAAAGGTCTATCACCGAGTGTAAGGACAGATTAATTAAACTGGGGCTATCCAGTGTATCCACCAACCACTTCCATCAGACATTGAACATTGTTATCATTGACAAAGAACTTTAAAGTTCATTCCCTTAAACAACATTCTTCAATACTGTATATTTGGTTTATTTCTAAGGTCTTTGGTCTCTGTATGTGCTGACTCTAATACTTAAACCACTTCCCCTTTGAAAAACCTTGGATTCAACACCCAGCCTACTTCCTATAAAATCCTACATCAGGTGCTCCAATAATGAGGTAAAAAATGACCCTTCAAATTGTTTGCAAATAGGGCAGATTGCGCATTTCAAACTAGAACGGCGAAGCCGCCATGGCTCGCTGGTAGATGCGAATCAAACTATTTGGTTGAATACAAACTCATTTTGGGGAACCTTGATACAAGCAAATTGCAAGTGAGGCTGATATATTATGCAAGGAAATCATAATAAGCAACTAAGTGTGAGCTTTGCCATAATTTATATGAACAGAAAATACAGAAAGGTTGGTTGATGCATCAGTAGCCTATGTATGTAAAAAAATAAAGGGCACTAGTTTTGGCATGTATTTTTGTTACTTGTTCCAATTATGCATCACGCTACAATCATCATGTGTTTGCATACCAGTGATCTCCTCTTACTTATGAGCATCATCCAGCATTCACTCTCTATTATGTTACTCTTTTCCAGCCTGACAGCTGATCCCAAAATGTGAATGCAAGTGTGACGTCATGACAACGTCATCAGCTATCAGATTAAAAGCATTTCAACATCATTTC